AGGTTGTTAAAGCCAAGTTATGCCTCCTATACAAGATTACAATACAGTAATTAATTTTGGTTTTAATCTTTTTTTTTTAAAATCAGCGTCTATGTGAATTTACACGCGCCAAACGTGATTCTCTTTTTTACAGAGAAACATGAATACATCATGATGAGCGTATTGGAAAACACCAGGGGGGGACACAGACCAGCTATATTGCTTATAAAAAGTGTACACACTAATGTTTAAATGGGGGAGGGGAGTCAACAAATCAGTTTCAGTGACACCAGATTTTAAAATGAATTACAAGTTGAAGAAAACATAACAGTCTACTATTTTTTCCCCATCGCCTGTGCAGTATACTGTATGTTGTGATTCCTAAACTCTCTTGACTCACTTGAGTCCCTTCTGGTTTCGCATCCGATGAGGAGTGTACTGGCAACATTCTGTTCCCTACTCACAGAATCAGAACCTCTTTCGTTCCACTCAAGCAGCAATTGCTGATGTGGATGAAGAAACCATCACTGGCAGGCCTCTGAAACGTCACATGACATCTTTGTGCGACTGCTGCTCACCTTCCTGTTGTGCGGTTCATGCGACTCGACCACCGTTAAGCACGAACGCTGCTCACGCAGGGCTCATCTGTGCATGCTTTGCACATGTCGCTGGTGAGTCTCTGCCGATATTTAAATTGCAAATTCAGCATCACCTGCTCTACGAATGTGATATAAGCTGCAGTGTTCTCAGCTATTCTTTCCAGATGGGAATGTATTTGTAAAACCAAATCATAAGCTGAATAAATGCTGAACATGTGAAATGTCGCAATGGAAGGCTGAGTCACTTCCAGTATTAACTCATCAGAAAATACAGTCTATACATCGTTCGTAAGAAAAACAAAAACATAAGGACTTTTCCAGGTTTTTCCCAGTTATCAATTTCCATTTCCACCAGACTTGATTATGTCCTTCCAGCTGAGTCTTGTTGAAACCTCAGACTGGTCTCTACTCAATCACAGGGCACACAGAGACAAGCACCCATTCACACCTTCTTTGATAAAGACTGTGACTTAACCTAATCAAAGCCGTTGTTACTCAACCAACGTCCAGAACAAAACATTTTTCAGAGCTTTGTAATGACTTTTCATGGAACTCACATTGATATGCGGTCTACTGTGATGACTGGAGTGTGAAATGGGACAACTTCAAAAGCAAAGATTTCAATATTCAGCTAAATGTTCACCATGTCGCAATCTGCTAATTCTTTCCTAGTTACATCTTTTAGCTATAAATCAATTCTATTTTTAGGAGTCCGGGTTGAAAGAACTCAATTGTGAATTTAATATCTAGTCGGCTCTCTTACGATAGCCCCTACCTATACGCCACTTCTCATTTTTTTCCCTTTGTTTTTCTGATGCAGCTCTCCTGAAGTCCTCCGGTGGTCCCCAGTGGACGCCCACCTCTCACTTTGAAAATTTAAAGCTCCACCACAGACAATACTGAATAATACATACCGTCGGGTCTCAGGAACATCTACGCATTTCGGTTGGTTTGTCGTGATGTCAGCCATACAATGAACCAACAATTTGAAGCATCTGTTTTATTTAGTTTCATCCTTCTTTGTTTTGCCATTCCGACTGCAGCCCAGTGTGACTTATGACCTCACACAGCAACTTCACTTCAGGCAGGAAGTTAACAAAATGCTTCGTAACCCTGAGTAAGCCTTTTTTTGTGTTTTGGGGGATGACGAATTCCTGCGGTGGCGCGGTGCCGCCTGACCCGTGGCCCGCTGTCCTTTTTTGTCCGCTCCTGCTCTGCCATCATTATCTACTGTATCAGCAACACGCCAGGGCAGTTGTCGTGACTGCGTGAGAGCCACCGAGGGCTGTCATTGGTTATGCAACTCGGACTCCAGTGGTACTAATAGCCAGAACCGGTCTTCGCGTGGTCACAAGAGGCCATCGAAAACATGTCGCTTTCAGAAATTGTCTCACCCCCATGAGAGTTTCAAAGGCGGACTGAAATGTTCTTTTAAGACAATCGACCTCCTCAAATTCACCAGGGGCACTTCCTGCATTTCTGTTTACATCAAGTGTTGAGTGTTTTCAATTTTTCCTCTGATGTTCAGCCTACAGAAAAATGGAAGGATGCAAAGGCCATCATTTTTTTTTTCTGGTCATGATGGAAATGTAAGAAGATGGACAATTATGTTTCATCGATACATTCTTTGCCGCGGCGTTCTCGTGTGGCTCGCACAGTAATCATTGCAATGCCAATCTGGGCTGATCATCAAGCTGTTGAGGATCTTTTCCACAAGGCCCGCATGGCATATTTTCCTGCAGATCATCTGGGAGGACACCTAATCATAAGTGACACCGAAGCAGGACTGCAGACGTGACGCTAATCTCAGTGGAAGTCAGAAACATTTCTGAGCCTCTCAGCGTTTTTCAGCCTCCAAGATAAAATGGTACAATGGAAACTGCGGGAAAAGCTGAGATGTGATATATATTTCGGCACCTGATGTGCGTCTCTCTTTAATTTCTTGTAATGTAAAATAATAGCAGCGAGCAAATATTTTTGGGTCAATCCAAATCATTCCATTATTTTCCATTTTTAGCGTCACATTTTAAACATAGCTATATTGAAGATGATGTATTTATATCCATGTGCAATTTTCTAAAGCCTGACCTGTGGCACAGAAATTTTGGCTGTCAGAACAAGCTTGCGGGCTCAAGGTTGTCACATCATGTGACACACCGTGCCTTCAGCCCTACAACGAGAGGGTGTTGCTTTTTGGGGTTTTGAATCTAATGTATTGTGACACTGGAGACAGACAGCCTTCAACACTGGATGACACTTATTAAACGGCAACATGTGAGTTTTATTAGTCTACCAATCTTCTAGAAGAATACTTTATGAGATTTGGGAGGAGTGTCTGTGATTTTTTTGTTTTTTTTTTTGTCCATTCATCTACAAGAACATTTGTGAGGTGAACGTGGAAGAGAGTATCCAAACCTGATGTGCTTGACAAGGTAAAGGTCATGACTCTTATTGGAAAACATTCCTCACGGACAACTCCAGTTAAGTCTTTATGTTGAGATTTTTGTCCCTCCTAAACCTACTAAATATTCTTCATACACAGTATGAAGAAATAAATTCCGTTGCAATTTACAGTTTCGTCATCAGTACATTTTGTACAGATTCTAATGAAGTCAGTAAAGTTACTCTCAGGCCTCATCGTGCATGCTCTCATTTCTGCCGTTAGCTGTTCGGAGGAACGTCTTAAGCGAGCGCCAACAGCTTGTTTGGCAACAAAGCTGGCTTCACACATGTCCGAAGCCATGTAAGCAGAATAATTACAGAGGATTTGTATGGGACATTGGGGGTTAGGGGGGGGAACTGTACCCGAGTCAACGGCAGCAGTGCCGCAGGTCACAGTTATGCAACAGCACGGCTGTCGCAGCATCACATCGGATGATACCCTCTACACTACCCTCTTTGCTGAATGCCATTTCTTGGAATGAAACAAATACGGTATATATTTTAGCCATTGCTTTCAGGGCCATGTATTCCATTTTAATTTTGACATATCTGCAGACGTTGGAAAGTATCGTACCAAGTGCTGTACAGCAGCGGTGGCCAACCTTTTTTTGCCCCACGGACCGGTTTAATGTCAGACAATATTTTCAATGACGGCTAAATACAACAAAATAGGATATGACCTGCATGAAAACGGTGGTATTTTCGTAACATAATAATAAACACGAATCATGACACGAGGAACGTCCGATGTGACCGCAACACTCTCTGGTCGCTATGGTAATGTTTAAACGTGCCTTCACAATAAGATACACCGCAAATAAAAAAAGTGCATGAAAAATACAGCTCACCATCGTCGCATATTATGCAGAGTGGGCTTGTGCGTGGGAATTCCCCGTTGAGATAAAGCCGTGTCTTAAGTAGGACTCCTGATACTGTCTTATTGAATGTAGCCTTCTTTTTCTTGGAAGTCGGAGGCTCCTTTTCTTTCCCCTGGCTGGGCCTTTTCCCCTTCCCAATGGAACTTTCCAAAGAAGTTTGGTTTTTTTTTTTACTCATTTTGCTTGCTCTTGGGTTTCATTTCAGGCATGTCCAGCTTCGGGCCTGGAGGGTCACTGTCCTGGCTGTTTTCCAGCTACCCTGGCTGCAAAACACCTGATTCAGATGATCAGCTCATGAATCAGGTGTGTTGCTCCTAAAAAGTTTTTTAGCGGTAACCTCTCACGTGACCGAGAAGCACCGCCTTCACCCGCGTCAAGAGTGACATACTGTAGACGGATATAACAGATAATCCGGTAATTTTTCAAAATAAAACACCTTTCAGATTCCGATATGACTAAAACGCAGGTAATGTAAGTTATTTAGTCTTTTTGTGCGGCCCGGCACCAAATGACACGCGGACCGGTAGCGGTCCGCGGCCCGGGTGTTGGCGGTATTATTCTCAGGATGTGACAGTAAGAAAACTGTTCAGCTGAGAGACACATCATGCAGAATGAGAATTTCAGAGAGATACTACCTTCGAGGTGTGTGTGACTGGAAAACGACCGCACCAGGTGCAGATTGTTATTCCAACATATGTGTTCATCACTAAAACTCAATATATTGCCGCGAGACAGCTTTCAGCGCACGAGGTGACATTTGCTCTCCGTGTGATTAAGAGAGTGCAGCGGGCCATTAATGGCATTCATTGCTTGAGAGATAAAGATCTCAGCAGGTCGTTTTTTTCCTTGGGTTTCCTGTGAAAAATGAGTTGGCCGAAGGCAACCAAACGGAACTCTGGCCACTCCGGCATGGAGAACTTCTCCAGGAGAAGTGGCGATGCTGAATGAAAGCATTACCAATGGGGCGGGGGGTGGGTTGTCACAGAGTGTAACTTTCGCGACAGTCATTGCTAAAATAACGTCACAAATGTGTCACAGTACAGTAAGAATTAAGTCAGAAGAATACATGAACAGACCACTTGGAATTTGAACGCACGGGTTATTGTTTAAAACCAAAATATGTTTTTATTAGGAATAAAGTAACCCCATTGTGTCAACATATAGCTACACACGTGAGTGACTGCAATTCTTCGGGTGCAACTGATTTATTCAGAATCTGCATGTAGAAAAGTACCAGTCAGAAAGAAATTTCACACAACCTGTTTAGTGGAACATTGTAAACCAAAAAAAAAACCTAAACTCTAGCCATTAAAAAAAAAAAAAATCACAGGGTTGAAGGGGAAAAGGAAACTGTGTGAAGACCTGAAATAGTCTGACGTGTGTTAATTGAGCAAAGTGCATGAGGTTCAAACTCTGAGGCCATTTTCTGGTGAGGCGTACTGCCAATAATCTCAGTCATCAACACTGAAGTGTATCCATGCTTTAAAAAAAGAAAAGAAAATAGTGGTCTCTATACAACAAGACACAAATGTGCACTGACTTCCAGTGTCCTAAAGCGCATAACAATCTTCTAAGGTGCAGCAGTGAGTTCGATATGACTGTCTAGTATGTACAACGTGAGTTTACATGCAAGAGCTGCGATATATGGAAACACATTGACGGGCAACAAGGAATGAAACGAAGAAGACGAAGAAACAGAAAAGACGGAATGAATTAATTTGTATAAAACTGTGAGGTCTGATTGCAGGGATGGCGAGTCACGAGTATCCCTCATCTCCAGATTTGATGTTGAACAGTCATTCTTAACTTTAACATAAAGTATCTCAGAGAAGAAAAAAAAAGACGAAGCCAAGTTTGAACCTGACACAAAGAAAAAAAAAATCCCTCAGCAATGTCAGTCAAGGTGTTTAAATATATACACGTTTCTTTTTTTTTTTTCTTCTTTCAAATGGCTCGTATATATACATCCGCAGTCTTTTTTTGTTTTAGGAAATGTGATATTTACACGTGGTACCTCCTCCTCCCCTTTGGACCGATCGTATGCGCTCCAAATGCTCGCAGAAAAATCACAACGTTCAAGCAAAGGTGTGTAACAAACTTCACGTTCATTCTCGTTAACCACGGAGATGATCAGTACATGTTTACAAATCATTTCGGTAGAGTGCGACAGCGTACTTTTTAATTTGGTATTTTTCACTTTTGACTTAACTTCTGATGAAAAGATGGGGAAGGTCTGGAATGTGGCGCTGATCCACATTAGGGTCATTTTGTCTTGGCGGTCATTGGGGTTGTGGGTGAGCTGGAGCCAATCACAGCCGACCTGGACTGGTCACCGGCCAATCGCAGGGCACATGGACAAATAACCATCCGCACTCACGTTTACACATTTGGAAAGAGAAAGCGCAAGGCTCAAAGTAACTTTTGTTTCTTTGTGGAACAGTTCTGCTCATCTCCATACAGGAGGGCTACAGCCAAGATTTGAATCCCGAACCTCAGAACTGTGAGGTAGATGGGCCAACCGACTACCTGTTGTAGCAGAGGTATGCACCGCAATCGTAAATGACTTGTGCTTACTTTACGCCGCAACTGACCAACAGAGATGCAAAATGGGCGGGAAGTCATCCCCCGATGTCCGGAGCTACCGTGCTGCTCCTTGTGCCACATGGTACATTTCAAGTGGGCTTAAGATCGCGCCTTCCTCCAGCTGCTCTAGATGGAGCATCTTCTTTTATTGAGTCTCCGGTACACGCTGATGCTGTGCAGACCAGTGGACACCGAACTGATGCCTGAGTGGGGCTGCAGACCGCACATGCAGCCGTTGGAGTGAAGGGGGTTGGAGAAGGCCTCTCCTTGCTCCATGTAGCTGTCAGAGTTGGAGAGGTCACGTGGGATGATCATCGGAATGGAATATTGCAGTTTCTCTCTGCTCTTATACCAAAGGCAAGAGCACATGGACTGGAAGTGGAGCACCTCGGCGTAGACGTTACGCAGTCCCCGACTCGCCGCTCCTCCCCCGCCTCCGCCCATCGCGCTTCCCCCGACGCACCCGGATGCCGTGGAGGAAGGGGACGCCTGGTCCGTGGAGCAGCGCATGTGTCTGCCGGCCTGGCCGTTATGGGCGAGTAGAGCCCGCTGCTCGGCGTCCCTTTTCTCGTCCTCGGCGTTCATGGTCATGAAGCGGAGGACGGCTAAGTTGAGGAAGGCTCCGATCACGGCCAGGCCGGTCAGGATGTAGATGAAGCTGAAGGCCACGTAGTCCGGCTTGGTCTGCAGAGCGTGGTGGTTTTGCAGCGCCACGTAGTCGCCGAAGCCGATGGTGGTGAGAGTGATGAAGCAGTAGTAGTAGGCGTGAAAGAAGCTCCATCCCTCAAAGTGGGAGAAAGCCAACGCCCCCGCGCAAAGGGTGCTCATGCACGATATAAAACCCACCGTCACCATGTTGAACATGGAGACCTCGGTCCGCCTCATGCCAAGGCACTTCTTCAGGCGATGGAGAAGAAACCGAACAAAGGTGTTGATGCGTTCACCCACGCTCTGGAACATGACCAAGGTGAGCGGGATGCCCAGGAGGGCGTAGACCATGCAGAACACCTTCCCTCCATTTGTGCTGGGGGCTGCGTGGCCATATCCTGCCGGACGGGGACAAAAAAAAGAGAAACGGTTACTGGGGCAGAACTAATCAAATCTACTGTCTGTAAAAGAGAGACAGGCAGATTTTGGGAGTAATAATGAAACCAGCTCATTTTTGTTGATTTGTGCTACCTGAAAGCGCATCCATCACTCTGCCTCAGCCCGAGGCCGCGGCTTGTCTCCTAACCTAATTTCTGCAATTATCATGTGAAAGGCAATATGGAAATTGCGTAGCGTTTGTGGTAAGAGCCTTTAAAAGATGTATTATGCAAAGCTAACAAGCAGGAGAGGCTTAATGTCAGCGGAGCACAGGTGCAACCGAGTCACCACTGCTGCCTCTCATTAGCGGTTGTTCTGCTTTTAAGCTCAAGCTTTCAGATCGACTTCATTTCAGGTCGTCGTAGCGCATCATTTTCAGAAGGCCGGCGGGGGGCGTGAATCCTTATACAAAAAAAAACCCTCAACTTTTTAATCCTCCCACATTTATTTTAGCAGATGGGTGCGCAGCTCCATTCAGAACTGCGCCGCAATAACACTCAAGAGTTCTTAATTGAAAATACAATCACGAGCACCGGGTTCATGTTTCTGGTCTTGTCGGTGCTTGTTTGTCACCTAGATAAACGCCACCCCGCTACTCCGAGACAAAACAACACCCACTGCATCCCGCGTATTGATGACACTCATTAATTAGGCATCCCTCCAAGTGTGTGCTTTCAAAGGACATGAAAAGAATGGCATCACATGAATTGGCTCGGTCTCGCGCGCACGTGTCATCCAATTATATTCTCATTGAGCACTTGGGGCCTGGGTGGTTCTTGACATCAAAACGCAGTCCAGAGCCTATTCATCAAGCGGAACGCCTCAGGACAATTAGTTTCCCATAGAAAAAGGGTGCAGTGATACAAAGAGAGCGTTAGTGGCATACTAAAATGGGAATAAACTTCAAATATTAAGGAGGTTAAAGTCGCAATACAAGTTAAAAAAATGTTTTTTAAAAATCTGGATAATGAGGAAAAAATTGATGTCAATAATCATTCAGAAAATTTTATATTATACATACACACACATACAAACAAAAACATTTTTATTGTTGCTTTTTGGGGGGGGGTCGCTGGATCGGATTGAAATGATTTTCTTTCATTTCAATGAGGAAAGATGATTTGTGACACAAGTGTGGCAACAGAACAAATGAAACTTTTTTTTTTTTACATCATACAAATAATGTATAGAAGGTATGACATTGAAATAGTTGTGTGTACACCTGAGAGTGAGACGATTGTATATACCGGTAGTTCGTTTTATTCACTGTACTCTATATAAAGTTGTTGTTTCTGCTCACTCCGAATCAAGCAGCAAAAGAACGGCAATGTTATTGGTGACATGCAGCCAGTCGCGGAACCGCATTTTGAACACGCAGGTGGTCTGACCGGTGTGACGTCACTCTTATCGATGTTTACAGCGCACCCTTTAAAAGGCCACACATATCATGGAATGTTCCTCGCGACTGCAAATAAACACGGATTGCGTTCATATCACTTTGGAACAGGCTGTCTTTGCGCTGGGGCCCGCTCACTTTCCCGGGATGCTTTATTATTTTTTTATCTTCCACAGTCTGCTTTCATCTCCAGCTGTAGCGCTCCGAAGACATCAGTGTCTGACCCTTCAGACTGTAACTCTGACCGCGAAACGGCAAAAGATGACTACGATAGCAGATTTTCCCACATTTAGACTCACAGGCAGACTTTGTCTTTTCATCGCAGACACCCCCAACTCCGCACGACCCCGTCGTATGTTTACTTTGGCACTTAAACACAGCTTTGGTCCGCTGAATCTCACTCCATTACGTTTCTGACTTTTGACCTTGAGGCCTTCTTGGCAGCTGCTGCGAAAAGAGCATGTGAGCAAACACGGCGAATTCGAGGAATATTAGAACAAGAATAACAAATGATTTTTTTTTTTGTGTGTGTTATGGCACAGAAACAAATTCCAGTAAGCTTGTGATAGTTTAATCAACAGACCCCAATGCAGCGGCGATGCTGACTAAAAAGTCGGATTTATCATGGCGGTCTGACGTAACACGAAACAAGTTCACCTCCGTCTGGGTTGGCTTTATATCGATTACGCTGAAAATAGCCTAACGCCAAAGTATCGGTAGTTTGGGCCCGTTTCGTCTTCCAAAAACATTCGCACAAACATTCATCAATTGGTCTTTGCTTGTCCGACCATTTAAGCTTCTGTTTTGCTCTCACAAAAACAAAACAAGGTCCAATTCCGCGCGTCCTCCTCAGGTTCCTTTTTAGGGGATATGAAAAGAAAACTTGGCCAGACGTGAAGTTTTCCATGAGCTCAGTAAGCGAGCTATTCCAAGTAGAGTGTGAGATCTCGACGAGGGGGCTGACTAATTAAATAAATCACGTGATTTATGGAACTGATACGCGCTGGATGCTAACTTGTTTTAAGAGTTTCAACACAGCTGGACTGAAAGGCGGTTTGCATCAACATCGGACGTGGAGATGGACACGCCTGATTTTGGAGGTGGCGGGGGGGGGGGGGGGGGTGAAGGGTCATTGAGGACGGGATAGATGAAAGGACATATTGGAGAGGTTCAGGAAGCACGGAAAAAAATAGCCCGAAAAGAGGTTTGTCTGTTGACAAGTCGAGACTTTTGGTGGTCTATTGGGAGGATCGTACGCGGAGCGACAATTTGTCACGCGCTAACTCGATCATATATTTCTTATTTTCAGGATATCCATGTTGTTGATTTAGCGTGGCAACTAAAAAACAAGCTAAATGTCATTTTAAAGGCCCATTTAGGCAAACGCAAATATTTGAGTCACGGCCTTTTAAGGGGGTCACGTCAAGGTACTGGCGGCTCCGTTTCAAGTGTTCCATTTGGGCTTTCAAAGTGCATCCGTGTGGGCAGACTAGAGAGGAAAAAGGAAGAGAGAGAGGGCATGTTGGATAATAAGATACTGGAGCTCCAAATTGGGTTTTTCTTTTTGGGACGCTGCCAACAGATACAGTACGTGCGAGGAAAATATACTGACTCCGCTTTAAGAAAAAGCAAAGGAACAAAACGAGCCCAATCTAATCTCGTACTGCTATTTCACACCTTTTTCTTTTTTGAACATTTTTCTCCAGCATTTTCTCACTTGGCTTTATTTAGACATTTCCCACCTCCGTCACCCTTGGTGCCTTTTTGGTGTTGCGCGGCTTTCACCTGCGCCTTGCCACCCGATTCCGACGATACGCGCCAACTGTTGGGCATGGAAACCGGTATGGCGGCTTTTCGGGAGCAGATGCTGTCCTAAAGTGACACGCGCTGGCAATGCAACCGAGCACATGACGCGGCGATCAGTTTACTTAGCGAAAGCATTAATGCAATATGGAGAAAGGCCGGATTAAAAAGGGACACCGAGAGGCCCCCATCTGATAAACATCAAAAGCCCCGGTGGCACAAATGACATTGTGCGCATTAAGCGGGAAGACAAACTGGGCGCATTACGTGTCCAGGATTTTTATCTGTGCCTAGTTACAAAAGCGCTTACTGTCTAAATAAACATGAGAGTTGTAAATGGAAACCGGTATGGCTGCTTTTCGGGAGCAGATGCTGTCCTAAAGTGACACGCGCTGGCAATGCAACCGAGCACATGACGCGGCGATCAGTTTACTTAGCGAAAGCATTAATGCAATATGGAGAAAGGCCGGATTAAAAAGGGACACCGAGAGGCCCCCATCTGATAAACATCAAAAGCCCCGGTGGCACAAATGACATTGTGCGCATTAAGCGGGAAGACAAACTGGGCGCATTACGTGTCCAGGATTTTTATCTGTGCCTAGTTACAAAAGCGCTTACTGTCTAAATAAACATGAGAGTTGTAAAGTCCGAGCTGCTGCAACAGACGATATTTTCAAAAAGTTTAAAGCATTCATCTTTTTTTTTGGACACCATCTAAAGGGTTCCATTATTGACCGTCACCAAATGGAAATAAAAAGTTCGATATGTACGCATCTCGTAACGGTGCACGCCAGGTCGTTTTGACACCTTTTTGTGGGACGACCGTCGCCTCGGGCAAAGCAGATGGCGAGTGCTGGCAGACACGGAGTGATGCCGCTCCACCTCCACTCAATCTGCAGCTTCACCTTACCGGGCCGAGTCGCGCAGGAACTGAATCGCCATCTGTGGCAAGACTTCATATGGATGACGTATCGGACGCATCTTATCCGTCGTTTACGTTGTGCTGTGGCTGATGAGAGGTGTCATGCAAAGCGTATTCTCTTTCACCACCAACATTATGTCATACTCCAAAACGTCAACGCTTCCATCAGAGAATCTGCAAATGTTTTGTCAATTTAGAGATTTACTTTTGGTGTCATTCTGCAAATCAAAAAAAAAAAATCATACGGAAACAATTCTCAAACTGCATCAGTGTACCTTCAGCATGCGGTAGGTAATCAAGAGAGGCCAGAGTGGAATGTTTGTCTGTTGGCCAATAGAGAGCGAGAAAGAAAAAAAAAAAAAACGTCAACTACTTTTCAGCCCCCGGAGTCTCTGCACAGTTTCGAATACATTTCCATTTAAAATTGATTTTTTGAGCAATTAATTGTAAAACACACTGGCGGTAATTGCCACGCACACTCTGTCACCCTTTTCCACTGTAGCCTGTGGACAGGAAGGCGAGGAGCTCATCCCCTCGCGATGGTTGCGATATTGGCATTACCCGAGAAAGAAAAAAAAAAAAGGCTTTTCAGTCTGTTGTTTCTAGCCCAAGGTTATCAAGGTGTTTGCATTTTCTATTTTCACGCCTATTTAATGTGCGCTCATAAACTTGCACGACGAGGGCGGCCCTCGAGGGTAAACACAACTCACCTGTGACTGTTATTGTTACCATCATCAGGGCCCCTCTGTGTGACAGTCCACTTCATTCAGAGATATTAGGCAGATGCTGAAGACAAATTGGGGGGAAAAAAAAAAATTCCCCTCGGAGATGGCGTATGA